AAATAGATATGGAGTGAGATAGAAAATAGATATGGAGTGAGATAGAAAATAGATATGGAGTGAGATAGAAAATAGATATGGAGTGAGATAGAAAAGATGAATTGGAAAAGCTTTTTTAAAAGACAGATAGAAACAAATTTTCCGTCGTCTTAAGAGGAATTGATTCTTTGCCACGATTTTCTCATCCCTATATCTTTGCAACCCAATGTCGTAGCCTTTTAATATTTCAAACGATAAATGTTAGATCAAATAGTCTAAGTTAGAAATATCAAAGGTTTACAAAATCAGGTTGCAAAGATATACCGATTAAAAAATTTGAGTTTGTGGCGAAGACTCAATTCCTTTGCGATGTTGTAGTAAAAAATTGTTTATACAGATTTATAAATCGGTTTAAGATTCTGATTCGAAATTGTAATTATCTTCATATTTTGCTTTATGTTTAGTAATAAAAGAGACTGTTCTCTTTAGCTTCATGCAAACCTCCATTAAACGATTCTTGTTGAAATGCCTGGCGTTACCCGTCAAATTTAAAAAATCGTTAATAAACTGAAAGCTTTAAGTTATTGTTACCCATAGGGTTCAAATCAAGGTTGTATAAAAAGGTTGGTTACTCTGTATGCGCTACAATGTACGGAAAATGTCGTCTCCTAAGATCGATAGATAAAAACCTCACATGACGCGCGTCACTCTCGTCTCTATAATTAGTGACGTCATATGAGGTTTTTATCTAATTTAGAAGACGACATTTTCCGCACATTGAAGCTCATCGAGAGTAGCCAACCTAGTTTATACAACATATACATATTCATACATATAAAATACAACACTATCATCTGTATATATCTACATATATAAAGTAGTAATCTCTGTTTGTTTGTTTGTATGTCCGATCATAACTCAAGAACCACTTGACCAATTTGCTTCAAAGGATTTGAATCTTTGCCACAAACTATGATTTTCTAATATTCTCTATAACTTTGGATTCCAATGTCGTAGACCTCAGATATTTCAAACTATGAATTCTGATAGATGAAATAATATAAGTTTGAAATATCAAAGATTTACGACATTGGGTTTTAAAGATATAGGGATTATAAATTCAGAGTTTGTGGCAAAGACTCAATTCCTTTTGAACTCGGTAGAAACACAGAAATGTTCTTAGCTTGGTTTAGAGATGCTAAGTTAAGTGAGTCAACTTTAACAAGGAAAAAGAGCTAAAACCATAATTTAAGACCATTCGGCGGGAGTAACTATGAGTAACCTGTGCAATGCTGGGTTCTAATGCTAGTACAATACTATAATCTTCAATCATCTACATATATAGCTCTGTAATCTCTGTTTGGGGGTGTCTGTCTGTTTGTTTTTCAGATCATAACTCAGGAACCCCTGCCTCCAATTTAAATTGGGGAACTCGGAGGAACCAGGAAATGTTCTTAGCTTTGGTTTGAGAGTCCAAATTCAGGAGTTCGACTTTAATAGCAAAAATTTAGTTTCCCGGCAAAATCGACAAAGTGC